ATGAAAGCAGAGAGGCCATTCAAGGAGCAGCGGGCTCCAACGCTGATTTGTCCAGCCTCATCTCCAGCCACCTGCTTATCATTTGCCTAAACTTTGCTCATCCTGCATCTTCTCACGAGATGTGTCCCTCTGAAACATCAGTCATGTTCACTCCTCTACACCTTGCTTTTGCCCTTCACATTGGTCCCTCTGCCTGAGATGCCATTTCTACTTGTCAACTTGGATGACTCATACTCATCGTTCATGTCCTATTTAAATTCCTTCTCATTTCTCTAGCTTTAGAGTTGGTTGGTCACGTCTGTCACCCCAAACTGTAAGCTCCTTGAGAAAGGAGATCCTGTTTCTTTCATCTCTATATTCCCATCAGTAGCATAGTGTCTGGCAGGCACTAGGTGCTCCGGAAATGTTTCATGAGTTATATTATTGCACAGTTGAGTGGTGTCTTTCAGCTAGACCCTGAATTCGAACACAAAGCAGAATAGACCAGTAAAACCTTCCTTCCTTTCTGTCCCTCCATACCTGAGGTGTATAGCATCTGTCATGCATGGGCTGAAACTGTGTCCTCCCAAAATTTATATGTTGAAATCCTAATCTCCAGTACCTCATAACTATATTTGGAGGTAAGATCTTCAAAGAGGGGATTGACTGAAAATGAGGCCATTAGGGTGAGGCCCTAATCCAATGATTGGTGTCCTTATAAGAAGAGGAAGAGACACTAAGGATGCCTGTGCGCAGAAGGACAACCATGTGAGGACAAAGCAGCAAGAAGGCTGCCATCTGCAAGCTAAAGAGAAAGGCCTCAGAGGAAGTCAGCCCTGCTGCCACCTTGATCTTGGACTTTCAGTCTCCACAAATGCGAGAAAACAAATGTATGTTGTTTAAGCCACCCAATCTGTGGAATTTTATGGCAGCCCTTGCAAACGAAGACAGCATCTTCACTTCATTAATAAACTCAGACACGGTGCTGCATGTCAGGCACTGTTCTATTCCCTTTCATGAATACGTAAAATTAACATGTTTTTAGGGTTGTTGTATGAACCCTAACACATGCATTATGAAAACTATGTATCTTTAAGGACAAAATCAGTGCCACAAGAAGCTCAGTCAGTATGTGTGAGACCAGTTGAGGGAACAACAGAATGAATGTTGCCACCTCAGATGTGTGGCTGAGTGTCAGTGAATTCTGGATTACATGTGGCAGGCTTTAACTCATGCACAAGGAGACTGTTTGAATCATAAATGTTCTATTACCATGCACCTAATGGTCTGAACGTACAGAGAAGCTTACAGTTCTAAAACAAAGGTATAGCTATAAAAGAAAGTTGAATTCTTCCAATTATTAATATGAGCTTTACTCATTTTTAGCCAACTGTATTGAAAAGACAAGTTCTTAAAAGGCTGGCATTGTTTGCCTGATATTGCCTTGCCTAGTTCCATGCAGGAGAATACATGTGAATGAATGCTTTTGAGCTTAGTGCATTGTTGCCTGGTCTGTGTGTCCCTGGGCCTCAAAACTGGGACCTGACAGTGGTAAGTGAGAACTTAAATCATGCAGTAGGTTACAGCTTGATCTTATTTCATTCAGATGGGCAAAGTACTTATGCAAAGTATCCTTCTGGGTATTGTTGGGGATTATAAATGATCAAAGACATCATCCTTGACCTGAAGTAATTTATAATCTTATTGTGATATAAGACCCATGCGTAAATAATATTAACTGCAGTGACTTCTAAAAGAAGATGGTACTTGAGGGAAGGATAAAGGTGGGGAAAGAATTCATGGATGAAGGTGCCCAGGTATGAAAGCAGAGAGGCCATTCAAGGAGCAGCGGGCTCCAACGCTGATTTGTCCAGCCTCATCTCCAGCCACCTGCTTATCATTTGCCTAAACTTTGCTCATCCTGCATCTTCTCACGAGATGTGTCCCTCTGAAACATCAGTCATGTTCACTCCTCTACACCTTGCTTTTGCCCTTCACATTGGTCCCTCTGCCTGAGATGCCATTTCTACTTGTCAACTTGGATGAGTCATACTCATCGTTCATGTCCTATTTAAATTCCTTCTCATTTCTCTAGCTTTAGAGTTGGTTGGTCACGTCTGTCACCCCAAACTGTAAGCTCCTTGAGAAAGGAGATCCCGTTTCTTTCATCTCTATATTCCCATCAGTAGCATAGTGCCTGGCAGGCACTAGGTGCTCCGGAAATGTTTCATGAGTTATATTATTGCACAGTTGAGTGGTGTCTTTCAGCTAGACCCTGAATTCGAACACAAAGCAGAATAGACCAGTAAAACCTTCCTTCCTTTCTGTCCCTCCATACCTGAGGTGTATAGCATCTGTCATGCATGGGCTGAAACTGTGTCCTCCCAAAATTTATATGTTGAAATCCTAATCTCCAGTACCTCATAACTATATTTGGAGGTAAGATCTTCAAAGAGGGGATTGACTGAAAATGAGGCCATTAGGGTGAGGCCCTAATTCAATGATTGGTGTCCTTATAAGAAGAGGAAGAGACACCAAGGATGCCTGTGCGCAGAAGGACAACCATGTGAGGACAAAGCAGCAAGAAGGCTGCCATCTGCAAGCTAAAGAGAAAGGCCTCAGAGGAAGTCAGCCCTGCTGCCACCTTGATCTTGGACTTTCAGTCTCCACAAATGCGAGAAAACAAATGTATGTTGTTTAAGCCACCCAATCTGTGGAATTTTATGGCAGCCCTTGCAAACGAAGACAGCATCTTCACTTCATTAATAAACTCAGACACGGTGCTGCATGTCAGGCACTGTTCTCACCGCTTTATAAATGTTTAAACATTTAAACGCCTTTCCACCCGTGCCAGTGAATCACTATGGCTGCATTGTTCGATGGGTGGGAGGGGAAAGGAGCAGATCCCCTCCCCGCTAGGATGGGCGCTGGGAATTTAAAATCAACATAGTGGGAGAAAAACAACCTTAAGAGAGATTTCTCTTTCCTCAGGTGAGAACCACAGGTGAAGATGATGGTCGGTAATAATGACAATAGTAAAATCACAGCTACCGTTAATTGAACACTTACTGTACATAGGCAAGTAGCAGCCACATTACAAGAATTGTCTCTCATTCTACCTCCACAACAACCTGAAGAGTTAGGTAACATTTCAGGTAATAGTCCCTTTATTTTACAGAGGAGAAAATGAGGTTAAAAAAGGGTAAGTCGGTTGCTCAGCTGGCCAAGGGAAGCAGGATTCAGACCCAGCCAGATCTGTGCCCTTTCTCCTCTCTGTACACTGCCTGGGGAAGGAGACCGGGGTCCCTCGGTTGGGGGAGGGAGGGGTTTTGAATTCAAGACCAAGTTTGTTCTCAATGCAGGAGATCAATGGGTAGCAGCGAGTTAAATTTTTTGAGAAGAGAAGGTAGTAGGGAAAATCTAACGGCTATAATTGCATATGCAAAAATAATACTTTTCATTTATTTAGCTCTTCCTACCTGCCAGGCATTAAACTTGGAATTTAGAACAGTTCTGATTAGCAGGTATTTTTGTATTTTCATTTGATGGACATGGAAGCTGAAGCCCAAGGAAGCTGAGAGACCTGCCCAAGGTTCAAGTGAGTGGCAGAACCGGAGTGGCAGACCTGGGAGGCTCCCCATCCTCTGCCCACACCCACTCGTCTAATCTGCTTTGGCTGTGGATCAACAGCTTCTGCACCCACGCTGCATAAACAGTACGAGGCCTCCGTGCTCTAAGCAGAAAACTTATATATCACATCATGGTCTTTACCAAGACTCAGCCTCAAGTATTAACACAGAGCAGCATTTATTTGTCCAAGAATGTTCCAAGGAGTCTTATTTTCTCAGTGCGTTCCATGGAAAAAGTTCTATGGCCAGAAAAGTTTGGAAGTGCTGCCTCTTATCCTTCCCCAGCCTTGGGGCACATCAGCAGATTCCATAGGTTTTACAGTTAAAAAAAAAAAAAAAAAAAGTCTGTTTCTTTCACTTAAGCTAAGATTTCTCCAATCTATTTGAACCACAGAACTGTTTTTCTACATGTATCAGTTAGTACACATGCAGCGAGCGCCCTTTTACAGATACTTTGATGCAGGACTGAAACAGCAGAAAGAGAAGCAGGCAAGAGCTACTTTTGATTAAAGGAACTAAAATGCAGGCTTTTTTCTTTAGAATTATCAAATTGTTTGTTATTTACATTATTTTGCTTTCTATTGAGAAAATAAATGGATTAAAATAACATTAGTTTCAATCAACTTTTGTTTTGATACTGAAAAAAAAAAAAAATCAGAGGCAGTAAATCAGCCAAGGGAAGGGCTACATGCATGCCCAAATCTCTTGGCTCATCCTCTGCCCAGCCCCATTCCATTCCCCAGATTTCTACCCACCCTCCCCTCTTTGGCGCTGCTCTCCAGCTACTCGCGCTGGAGGTGACCACAACTTGCAATGCACCGTGTCCCCCACCCCAGTCCTCACAGGGGAGAAACAAGGACAGGGGAGCATCAGGTCCCCTCCCTAGAGCAATCACATAGAGCTGGCAGATTTCAGAGAAACACGTGAAGTTATCTGAAATATGTAACGATCTCCCTGCCTTCGGGTTGGGCAAGAGTATTCTAAAGACATTCCTATAAGGGGATAAATGATTGCCAAATTTCATTTAAAATTTCCAGATTATGAGTGCTGTGATTTTTCTAATTCTCTCTCTTTCTCTCTTTCTCTCTCTCTCTCTCTCTCTCTCTCTCTCCATCCTTCCTTCACCCCTTCCGTTTTTTCATTTTCAGTATCAAATTTTCTACAATGAATATGCAGTATCATGTGTTAAAAAGGAGGAGGGGACAAGAAATCATAAGCTCTCCAGAGAAGGAGCCTCCATAAGCTCACCTAATAAAATACACCAGTATCTCCCAAAGCCTGCAGGTAGAAATTCTGTCTGACCTGCAATGCTTCTCTTTGCAAAACTCTCTCCCCGCATCCCCTTAAGCGAAGCAACGCTCAGCCTGCGGGCGCAGCGCCGCCTCTCCTTACCCACTCGAAAGATCAGATCGTCTTCGATGGGATTCTCTTTTCGTTTTCCAGTGCTGTACATGCTCGCGGGTCTTTTCACAGCTTTTTGCTTTACGTGACCACTTCCCGGGGATTTCACGCGTCTCTTCACACCCTCGGTGGTGGGCGACACATCGGCTGACCGGATGACTTTTAGCTTAAAAGGGCTGCCCCGGATGTGCTGGTCGTAGAGCCTCAGAGAGAGGGTAAAGTCTCCTTCCTTCTGGACCGTGTACAAAAACTCATAGGTGCCGTTTTTGTTGTCGAGGATTTCTCCGTCGGCCACGCTGCCGTCGGGCGTGCTCAGCTCGGCGGTGATGTAGGCATTGCCAGTTTTACAGAGCTCCCCGTCTTTGTCCTTGGTCGTTATGGTAACGGACATGGGCTGCCCGATTATGGTCTGCCGCAGCCCCTCGCCCGTGGCCACCGTCTCGGAGGCGACAGCGTTGGTGGTTAAGATCGTCCCCAGGTTGTGGATGGACTTCTTGAGCCCTTCGGTCTCCACAATGAAATCCAGCTGGTCATTCTCCCGCGGGTGCAGTGGGAAGTCCTGGTCGGCCAGTTCGTTCAGCTTCTCGCTCATCTGCTTCTTCACCAGCAGCACCTCCGTTTCTGTGCCATGGTTGAGGGCCTGCGCAGTAAAGTTGCTACAGCTCTTAATACTCTCCTGCCCCTCGAGCAGAGTATCCAGCTGCGACTGGAGGACCTGCGGGCGAAACGGAGCTGAATAAGTGTCCCCTGCAGTGCGGAGCTCAGCCACTAGCGCGCGGCTCACGCTGGGACAGAGCCCTGCCAGCTCTGCTTCCGCCCACACCCGTGGCTCTCAGCAAAGGGTGTTTAATTTCATCAGTGAACCAAGTTCTAATGCATTCCTAGTACCTCCTCCTTCCCTTCCGCCTTGCCCTGTTTCTCCCACACACATATTTACTGTGTCATATGTTTCTGACAGGACAGAGCACAAACGGCACCACCAAGAGCTTGGCAAACAGATCGCTATGCCTGACATCTGAAATATTCATTATTCAGTATCTTTCCTCACTGTCCAGAGCTCCCCTGTCACCACCTATAGGAATGGAAACCAGACAAATGAAAACTCTCCACACCTGAATCTCAGAAGCTTTTCATCCCTGGTTTTGGGATCAGACATGCAGAGCTGAACAAAGGCTGCAGTCAGGGTTCACTTTGAAGTAGACTAACAGGTTGGTATGGGCCAGAGGGCAATTCAGAGACTATTAGACATTATAATTAAGGAAGGAAAACAATCCGGTTTAACCCCAAATCCTAAAAGCATTACTTTATATTCAACCTTGCCCTGTATCAAATTATAAAATGAGACTTAAGGTCACAGAATCATTGAGTTTTGCTGAAAACAGGAAGGAAAAAAACAGCTGGATATGCCATTAAATGAAAACTACTGTTTACTGTGCAACAGCGACACTTAAGGACCCATTTGGATCCCCTCTGCTGCCATTAGAACAGACTGAGCTAGTGCCATGACACGCCCGGAAATCATGCCTCTTCCACGATATCTGTAAGAAAGGCTGGAGTCTTACTTTGTGTTTGAGGCCATAGTTGACCTCCAGTTCCATAAGCAGCACGCTCTTGCGCACATTTAAAGTCTTCTGGAGCTCATCAAAGGTGGAATGGATGTCATCCACAATGCTGGCCTTTTGGTTGGTTAACTGATGAATGATTTCTGAGATGAACTGAAGAGCAGAATCTATTTCTGGGAGCCTGAAGGACAGTTGTTAAAGATCATTACTATTTAACATTAACCTGGAAACAGTAGGACATCTATCTAAACATTGTATTTTGTCAAAAAGCTTTTTGGGCCTTTCGTCATCTTTAAAAAGTAATAACTGAACCACAAAATGAATAAGACATAATTACAGCCTGTGAGAGAAGAGACTTTGGGGACTCACGTCTATTTCAATCTACCTAAGTCATCTAATCTTAATAATAAAAGGTACAAAGCTTTGAAGCTCTCCGAACTCCATGGCTTTTCCTCACACTCTAAAGGAGGCTTTCTCAAATTTGACACTATTAATATTTTGGGCCAGATAATTCCTTGTTGCAGGGGATTGTGCTGTCTATTACAGGATGTTTGACAGCATCCTGTCTTCTACCAGATGCCAGGAGCACACCTGCTCACATATGCAGTTGTGACATGAATTGTCTACAAGCATTGACAAAAGTCCCCTGGAGGGGCGGAGGGAGTATAATCACCCATGGCTGAGAACCACTGTTCTAAATATTCAGCTATATCCTTTTTTCCCAATCACATGAAAAACTTATTCAAACTCAAAGTTTTTTGGGATGGTCTTGCAGGTTTCCAAGTTCTTTTAATTAGCATAGAACAACCACACTATTCTCATTACAACTATTGGTGGAGATTTATTTTCAGCTGGCTATTTATTTACTTCCTTTGGTCTTTCTCATGCATCACACAGCTATTCTGTTCATTCATTTCCATGCAAAAACAAAAACAAAAAAAACAAACAAAAAAACCCCTGTAAGCAGAGAAACATAAGGGAAATCAAGCCATCGCTGCTTGGTACCATTTTGCTGGGCTCAGAGAGGAGCCAGTCGGTCTACATAATGGGCCTGTAAGTATGTCAAGAACTAATAAAACTTCTCAGTGAGCCTAGGTTCAGGCACAAATTTCAGAGACCTCCTGAGTGCATTTTCCTCAAATATATTTTATTCGTTTAATCATACTAAGGTCCTAAAACAAAAATGCCACCACTCATAACAAAGGGAAATTGCATCAAGGGGCAGGAGATGACCCTTATCACTCACTAGTTTATGACTACAGATCCATGATCAAAGGAGAATTTATTCAGATGACATAATCCTACTATCCCATTGAGATAAGAGACCCTGAGGCCAAGCCTCAAGCACAGGTGGCCAGTTGGGAACCTGGGGAGGGGGAGGTATGCACCTTTTGTTGACAGCGTCCAGCTGGACCTGGAGTGAAGCCTTGTGCTGCTCCACCACATCCTTGAGGGGCACCGTGGGGTGTTCTGCGTGCTCCCCCTCGGTGCACTCCCGACACATGGCGGTCTCGCAAGACTGGCAGTAGAAGTCCATCACCTGTGGGTAACAAAAGAGCAAGTCCAGGATCGGTGCCACGGATCGAGTGCTTACTGTGCTCCGGACCTTTCCTCGCATTCTCTCATTTAATTCTCACGGCCTCCCCTGATGTCAGCAATAGTATGTCCAGCTCCACAGGAGAAAAAGAAGGATAAACTTTTATGTGCCAGATCTCAAACAGAGGTGGATCGAACTCCAAAGTTGCTGCTATGGCCACAAAATCAGCTTTTCTGTGGCCACGCCATTAAGGCAGAACAGTGTAGGGCTGTGGGGCTCAAACTTTGTGGTCTCAGGACCCCTTTACACGCTTTAAATTATTGAGGACTGCAAAGTGCTTTAGTTTATAAGAGTAACATCTACAGATATTTATCATTTTAAAAATTGAAGCAAAAAATTAAATATTTATTAATTTATTAAAAGCAATGATACATCCATTAAATATTAACATGACTATTATAATCTATGAAAAAGAACTATATTTTGCAAAGCAAAAAATTTTATAAGAATGGCACTGTCTTCTATTTTTGTAAATCTGATTCAATAGCACACATTATATAGTCTCTGGAAAATTCCACTGTACACCATTGAGAAAATGAGAGTAAAAAAGACAAATAATGTTTTAGTATTATTATAAATATAATTTTGACCATGTGCACCCCCTGAAAGGGTCTTGGGACCCATGAGGGTTCCTGGACCACACTTTGAGAACTGCTGTTGGATGAGAGGAGCTAGACTGACCAGTTTGCATACTGGCTTCACCACTTACATAACTTCACTTTCTGAATTTTTCCTCTGTCAGATGGAGACAGCAAGAATAACCTACTTCATTCAGTAGGGCTGCTATGTGTATTCAGTAGACTGACATGCACAAAGAAGTCAGATATTGCCTGGCACTGGCACACAGTAAGTTCTTAATGAGTAGTGGTGGTGATGATAACAATGATGATGATGATCTTACCCGCCCACTTGAAAATAAAACCACCTTGTCCTGATTATTATGAACTCTCAGTAACTATATAACATAAAGCCTGAAAGTTAGTCTCCTTGTGAAGGCATTCTCCTTTTTCTCGGCTGAAAATAACTTCATCGGATTTTAAATTCCCAAAGCACTTTTTGGGGGGATCTATTTCTTGAAGAACAACACATCCACAGATGGCATGTATCCTAATACAGATTGATGGATTTTCATAAATGCGCCCACCAAAGCACTTTCATTCATATCCCATTTATTAAATATTTATGAGACTTTAAGTTATCAAGTGCAGGAACTCTCTCGCACAAAGCTGTGCACATAGTAGGTATTTAATAACAATGCTGAATGAGTCTCTATAAGAGGCTCGCGTTAGGTCCTAAAACACAAGTAGGTTACAAGTAAAAGGATGGAAGATATTCTATGCAAATAGTAACCAAAAGAGAGCTGGAGTGCCTATTCCAATATCAGACAGAACAGACTTTAAGACAAAAGTTGTTAAAACAGACAAAAGACATTATATAATGATAAAATAGTGAATCCATCAAGAAACATAACAATTAGAAACAAATATTCTCCCAACAACAGATCCCCAAAATATATGAAGCAAAATCTGACAGAATTAAAGGGAGAAACAAACAACAATGATAATTGGATATTTCAATATTGCACTTTCAGCAATGATAAAACAACTAGATGGAAGATCAATAAAGAAATAGAGAACTTGAACAACAATATAAACCAACTAGACCTAACTGACATATATAGACAACTCTATTCAATAACAGAATATATCTTTTTATCAACTTCACATAGAACATGCTCCAGAAGAGATTTAAAAAAGTAAAAAAAGGTCTAAATACATGTAGAAAGTGATACAAAGTATCTTCCCTGGCCACAATGGAATGAAATTAGAAATCGATAACAGAAGGAAATCTGGATAACTGACAAATATGTGAAATTCTTAAACAATGACATTCTTAAACAATGAATCAAAGGAAAATTCACATGGGAAATTAGAAAATACTTTGAGATGAATAAAAATGAAATACGACACACCAAAACAAATGAGAGACAGTGCTCAGGGCAAAATTTATAGCTATAAATGCTTACATTAAAAAGAAGAAAGATTTCAAATCAATAACTCCAGCTTCCATCTTAAGGAACTAGGGAAAAAAAAAGATCGATCTAAATCCAAAGCAAGCAGAAGAAAGGAAATAAAGATTAGAGTGGAGATAAATAAAACTGAGAATGGGAAAATAATAGAGATAATCAATGAAACTGAGAGTTGGTTCTCTGTAAATAAAGAGCAACAAAACTGACAAACACTACAACAAAACTGAAATGCACAGTTGTATACCAAGAAATTGAATAACCTAGATAAAACTAATTGCTAGAAACACACAAACTACCAAGAGACTCAAAGAAGAAATAAAAAATCTGAATAGACCTATCATAAGTACAGAGATGAATCAATATTCAAAAAACTTCCAACAAAGAAAAACCCAGGACCAGATGGCTTTACTGGTAATTCTACCAAACACTTAAAGAATTAATACAAATCCTTCCAAACTCTTCAAAAAAGTGTGAAGAGGAGAGAACATTTCCTAACTCATTCTATTAGTCTAGTTGACACCAAAGCCAAAGATATCATAAGAAAAGAATATTACTAACTAATATCCCTTATGAATATAGATGCAAAAATTCTTAACAAAATATTAGTAAACTGAATCCAGCTGCATATTAAAAGGATTTCACATCAGGACCAAATGAGATTTGTCCCCGAAATGCAAGGGTGGTTCGCATACAAAAATCAATATATGTAATACATCGCACTAATAGAATAAAGGAGAAAACACACAGGCTCATCTCGGTTGACGATATCCAACACTTTTTCTTGATGAAAACACTTATCAAACTGGAAATAGAAGGAAACTTCTTCAACTTGATAGAGTGCATCTACAAAAACCCACAGGTAACATCATATTTCATGGTAACCTCCTAAGATCAAAAACAATACAAGGATGGCTCACCACTCCTATTCAACAATGTACTGGAAGTTCTAGCCAGGGCATTTAGGCAAGAAAAAGAAATAAAATGCATCCAAATTGGTAAGGAAGGAGTAAGAATTTCTCTATTCAGAGATGACATGATCTTGTATATAGAAAATCCTAATGAACACACACACACACAATTAGAATTAACAAGTGAATTCAGCAAAGTTGTAGGATACAAAACCTGCTTCACACCAACTAGGATGGCTGGACTCAAAAAGTCAGATAATAACAAATGTTAGTGAGAATATGGAAAAATTAAAACTCCCATACTTTGCTGGTGGGAATGTAAAATGGTGTAGCTGCTGTGAAAACAGTTGGTGGTTCCTCAAAAGTTCAACATAGAATTACCTTACAACCTACCAATTCCACTCCTAGGTATATATCCAAGAGAACTAAAAACATGCCCATACAAAAACTTGTTCAAGAATGTTCATAGCAGCATTTTTTATAATAGCCAAAATGGGAAACTCCCAATGTCCATCAACTGATGAATGAATAAACAAATCGTGGTGTATCCAGACAATGGAATATTATTTAGCTGTAAAAAAAAAAAAAAAAAGGAATGAGGTTCTGATATACGCTACGATATAGAAGAACCTTGACAATATTATGATAAGAGCTAGAAGCCAGACTCAAAAGGCCACATTTTGTAAGATTCCATTTATACCAAGTGTCCACATGGACAAATCCAGAGAGACAGGCTGCTGACGGGTAGTCACCAGGTGTTGGAGGCGAAGGATGAGTGGCTGCTTAATGGCTGTGGAATTTCTTTATGGGATAATGAAAAAGTTCTGGAATTAGACAGTGGTGATATTTGTACAACCTTTTGAATATACTAACAGCCACTGAATTGTATGCTTTAAAATGGTTAAAATGTTGAATTCTATGTTATGTGAATTTTACTTTGATTTTAAAAAATTAGTTGCAACTTTGAAGAGACAGCAGCAGACTTGGGTCATTGTCCCTGGTTCAGTATCCTAAGTGTTTCTTGCGAAGCAAAGGCTCTGAAATCATTCTGAAGTGTCAACAACTAGTCATTCTCAAATGCTTGTGCTTGGGTTCTGACAGCTTTGACTCAAGCTGAGACTTAGTTGTGTGAAGTGTATAACTCGGCTGAAGCTCATCCAACCTGAATGAGATGATGCTGGTGCCTCCAGGAGTGGGTGGGCCAGAGGCCAGGATGAGCTTGTTGTTGTTGGCAGGTAGTCATCATTTGTGTTCATTAGAAGAAAAGATGGCCAGGACCATATGCATTGCTAACTGCTGAAAAAGATAGTCAGGTCCTTACAGGCAATGCTGAGACTTCTGAAAGCGGGGACTTGCTACTAGCAGGGCATTCTTAATGAGGATCTCTCCTTCGCATCTCTTAACATCCTCGTTAGTAAGGCCTAAGCAAGCAACGACAGGGTTTAATAATCATTCATGTTCTGGGACTGCGAGGCATGAGCTCAAGTGTCTGCTTTAAGTGCAAAGAACCTCTTAAATCACTGACCGCTATTCCCATTTTTCTTTGTATTTGGACAATGTAGCCACGGCAGTTTAATTAGAAGACAGATTGTGTCACAGCACTTAAAGTAAATGACAGGCTTTCATCCACATGTGCTAATCAGCACCAGGCAGTTTATGACAGCAACATCCTGCTTTATTGTTAATTACCGGATTTTATTAACCTTCAGACGCTTGAACTGTTTTTAAAGATTTACCCATGGCAATTAACTGCAGCAATTTGTCTGTAATATTGCATGTGTTTGGCTTGAATATGCAATGAGGTCTCCTGTTTCAAAGCAGTAGCAGTGAACTCCTGCAATCTATGATGAAACAATAGAATGATTCAAGACATATGCTGCTAATTTTCCAAGGCCTCTTGCTGGTTTATAAATTTTATAATTTCAAAGAATCATAATGACCTAGCATAGAGGAAGTGCTCAGGACACATCTTAAATAGATTCATTCACCTCAAGGAGGATCAAACT